CCACATTTACTTGTGGAAAACATTCTTTCTTGAAATGGAACCAAGAGAAATTTTATTTCTAAAATATTGAGTTATGAATATTCTGTGATTATTGTGAGTGGTACTAGTTAGAATGGAAAACTGGAAATTATTTTCAAATGGCTGTACTTCTTCACTTGCAACGGATAGAGCATAGTGTATTCAATACTTACTCGTAGAAAACAAGTTTTGTTCACAAATTGTAACATCTAAAATTTTCTATCTTGAATATTGAATGAAACATGTTGTGATTTGTAAGAGCCCGGATCTTGACCCTAGCACTTAAGATTATTTTGAAATGTTTTTAGTTCTTCACTAGCAACAGATGGAGTATATTGTATTCAGTGATTACGTGTAGAAAACATCTTTTTCCTTCCAATGGAGGAATTTCTAAGTATCTACATCAAATATTGAATGAGATATGTTGTCATTTGTAAGCTCCACAATCTTGACTGTAGCACTCAACAGTATTTTGAAATGGCTGTACTTCTTCACTGGCTTTAGATACAGCATATTTTGAATTCCTTGCAGTAAATTGTCAAAAATTCCAATTACGAGAAGTCCCAAACAATTTGTATGAAACAGCAAGTGCCAATTGGTCCTTTCTGAATTCCATTGTATATAGCAATATAGGTAACACCTTTGTGCATATGCATCAAAACCCAATGGGTTGATGAGCTGCACACATACTTCCCATGCATACAAATATAATTTCACATGAATAAGGGCATAACAGCACTATCAATAAACGCATTAAACACTGAATTAATTAATTTCTAGCATCTAAAAAAGAAGTGAGTAGTACACATCCCCTACATCACTTTGAATGCTAACATTTGCAGTGTATATTAGCAGTGCTCCTGTGAGCGCTTACTTGTTGATTTGTGTTTGGTCTAGTTGTTAGGACTCTGTGCTCCAGGTTGTGGGGCAGCAGTTCAAATCCCTTTTTAGTGTGTTCATTTTCATGGCTTGTCTGTTGTCTTGTGTGGGTTTGTTTGTATCTTTTCTGCCTACTGATGCTTGTGTGTGTTTTTGTGTGTATGTACAATTCTCTCTGGTCATATCATGACACTAAAATTATTTTTCAGTTCCATTTCCAAGTGGTATAATGCCAATTGTACTGCTTTTCAAATTTTTCCCTACATGCCCCATCAGACCACAATTTTGTGGTTTGTCAGCAATACAATTGGTCCTGCTTATCATAATGCAATGTGGAATCATAAATGATGTCTAGGTTTCTTTTGAAGGTACATGTAATTTATGCAACCTAGTTGAACTTGTCACCTCACATGTGTTTTTTGCATTACAAAATAAGGTGCCACTTTTGATGTAAACTTAACATTCCTCTCAAACTTGTTCAACTTCTTGTTTTTATGCTGGAGCACTTAGCATCACTCTTAACACATCTAAATCCACATCCCACAGGCGTGTTTTTTATGTGTTTTGGGATGCAACTTTGTTTTCCTGGGTCTATCAATTTTTTTCTTGGTGTTTTGTTCTGATGTCATTAGACAGAAATGGTTTGATTTATGTAAAAAGCATATTTTTCAGTTGTACCGCAGACAAGTGCATGCAGGTAATCCTGCAGTCCATGCACCCAAAAAAAAGGGCAATCCAACCCCAAAAAAGGGTCCGCCTGGAGTCCTTTGTCTGGGGCAGGGCCTGGGTTTTTGCGAGGATTTGCATGCCAAAAGTGTTGTCCTCATTTTGGGGACACACTTGCGCCCTCCAGTGTGGCGTGCATTTGAGCAAAAATTCCTTTCTAGTTTTTTTCTTGTGGTAGGATTGAGTAAGAATTGAATTCATTTTCCCTATGATTTCATTTGGTGCTGAAGAAATTGACCAAAATATTGGACTTCCACTGATTTCAACCCTTTTTTTTTGGGAAAAATGCACAGGTGATATTTGAAGGTCTCCTGAGCAGGAAATTTTTTCATGTGGAAAGCCTTAGTCTGCAAAAAATTGCTGTTGAAAACTAAGAAATTAAAGAGACTCTGTGTTCCAAAATGAATGAAAATATGAAATAAATTAATTTTAGTTGATTGAGTCTACGCACAAGCATAGATTCACTTTCAAATTCAAAATGAGCATGCGCAACGTAAATTAATATAATTTTTCTGCAATATAGAAATTTCAATTCAAAGCACTTCAAAGGAATATTATTTGTCAAAATCATGGTCTCACCGCGTATATTTTATATGCATTCTTCCTAAGCTGAACCAAAAAAAAGTTTGAAAAACTTACACTGACATATCTGTTTCAATGAAAAAATCAGCTTTGTTACTCATTTTACCTGATGTGTTGCTTAAACAAAAGAAACAGATATATCAGTGCAATTAAATTTTGATACCTATTCTAGAGAAAATGTATTGTTCTAGAAAGTCCTGATCAGGGGGGACCAAAGATTGATTGATTTGTAATATCTTTCCAAAAATGTTCCATTTATGCCAAAAATTGAAAAATTGTAACTGTATACAAGGATTCTAAGAAAAGTTCTTGGAATATATATTAAAATGGCATAGAAATGAACAAAAAAAAGTATGCTTCAGGGAAAACGTATTCTTTGGCACACCCAAAAAATCAGCCCTGTTTGACAATTTCTTTTGAATGTTTTGCAAAATTTACCCTGGCAGAGTTTAGCTCTCCACTGGAAAAATGAGGTGCCCTTCCTGCAGATTTTTTTTTCCTCAGCTGCCAATGTGGCAGCTAATGTGGTGGCTGTGAAGGCAGCTGTTGATGAAAATGCCACGCTGATTTCAAGGATTCTGAGGGGAAAGCTGGGATGCAACAAAATAAATCTCAACATTTTTTCATTTAAAATATTTTTTCATTGAGAAACACAAATTTCAGATTTTTAAATGCTTGAAAAAAAGAAAAAATGTTCACCTTTATTCTCACACATCCTCTAGTCAATTGATTCTTGAATCCCTGTCAATCACCAGCAGTGTTTTGTGAATGCGCGGATGTCATCTAAACATTTCAAATACATGTACCCTATTCACTCCAGTACCAGGCGCCCTCCACTAAGGCTCACAATAAAAAATTTTAAAAATCCTATCCCTCTTATTAATGCGCACCCCATTTTAGCAACTCTAAAACAATAATATTAAAAGAAAACCCCAAATTTGAATGTAGAATCTGATTGAGCACAAAATGAACTGATTTTAAATGTTTTAATAAAATAAATTTTGCTGACAAACTTGTTACAAAATTTCCCTTGGAGGCAAACATATTGCACATCAGAATCAAGATTACATTTATTAGCTGCTGAATTGTTGCTGATGAAGCCCCTTGTTTGCCTGGGCTGTGCAGACTTCCTCCTGGTTGCTGGAATAGTGTCCCATTGCTTTTCCACACATTGTTTTCCCAGACGAAGACTGGTCAAGATGGAAGTCAATTTTTATGAAATTGATTGAAAAAGTGCAGAATCAAGATCACTGTTAAAACCATTAAAATATTAGCAATGTACTGAAGTGATCCTAGCCAAAGGATTGTGAGGAGCATTAAGTAATTTATGAATCAACTTTTCCAACCAAACCATCAAACCAGGGTCAAATGACCATTCTGGTAAAGCCAAAAAGAAGTCCAGATATGACCAGCTGCTGGCAAAATTGTCTTCACAGTACTTTTCAATCGTAAAAATCATTTTTCATAGAATGGTTCTTGTAACCCAATATATTTTTGAGGCAAGCAAAGGAGCTCCTCATGTTTTCCTGAGAAAATCAGACCTGACGAGGCCTTGTTTTCTTCTGCCAAAATATATTGGCACAACCTCATAAAAATTTTAACAAACTCAAGAACCCAATCAACAGGAGAAACAAGACACTTCCAACAACTTGTTTTGAAAATTCAAGACTTGAAAACACCAGCCCCTTGTTTTTTCAAAACTTTAGAACACAGCATCTGGGTGTTTTGCATAAACCTTATTTAATTTTTGCTTGAATGCTCCACTGTTTTCTGTGGTAAAAAAAGAAGAAAATCTTTCAAGGCATGCATCACATTCAAACAAATTCAAAAATCTTTTGACTGGTTGAAATATTCCTGGCAAAATCTTGTAACTTATTGTTTGTGTATGTACAATACTTCTGAAATTGCTTTTGAGGGGTAAAGCTTGCAAATTTGACAAACAAAAGGTCAGCCCTTTTGTGGATAAAATTCCTGGTTGGTTTGCACACTGGCTGATGAGCTCTGACTGATACCCTACCTTGTGAATAATTTCTTTTAAATCCATGAAAAAATCCAGCAAGATACTGTTCTACACTAATGTCAGCATAAAAATTGTGTATAGTGTCTGATTCAAAGGTCCCAGGAAACTTGTGAGGGAAAACAATTGCAATTTACCAAGTGAAATTGAATGAAATTTAAAACCTATCCCTTGATTTTGTGTGGCATGGGAAGGATAAATATAAGCTTACTGGTTCCTGAAATGCAAAAGATTCTTCAAAAGATCCTCTCATTCCATACGGGTGAAAAGTATAAAAGAGAAAACATCCGCAAGTTACTGTTATGCAGTAATCTCTGCATGCAAAATTGTTCCAAGTGTATGGCAGCAAAAGAATTAATACCAGCTTCTTATTGGCGGTGCCTGTACAAGCAAGGTTGACGTCTGCACTGTACTCACGGGGGTCACAGTGAAAGTGAAAGTCCCCAACAGTGAACTACTCCTTTTTTCTCACTCCTTGGGAAGGTTGGCATGTCAAAGCTTCTCACCCTTCCTTAAAGGGGGAGGACTGACATTGACAAATTGTTCTGTGCAGCCCATTTTTTTGGAGGCACTGGGGGTTCATGGACTCATACGCAGTTTCTTTTTCAGTTAATTTGCATATCTCTAAACATCATTGCCAACTGCAAGAATATAACTCCTTGTGCTGTTTTCCATAAATGAAACCAAATTTTCTCCAGATTTTATTCAATGTTATTACACACCTCTCAACTAATATTGTGTATGTTGTCACTTGATTGTTAACATATGCAAATAGCAGGAGCAACAGCACCTCCTAACCAAGATACAAGCCAAACATCTCATGGAACAGGGTCTCCAGGTAAGCAATGTTTCATATGCTCCAACACATATGAAGCGGGTTCATAATTTCCATTGCTCAAATAACTTTTCAACATTTATAACTCCCTCTTCCTGAATATGTGTTCCATTTCCAGTCAACAGAAGGCATTTCCCTTGTACACAAAGTATTCATAGCACAGAACTTGCATCACCTTTAATATTTTTGTAAACTTCAAGAAATCAACTCCTCTTGCTCTTTTCCCTCAGGCAAGGCTACAGTTTTTCCATATTGTAGTTAATGCTATTGCAGACATTTTAATTATGATTGAGTCTTTCATCACTGAAATGTTAACATATTGCAGGAGCAACAGCAAGTACAAACCAAGGGACAAGCCAAGCATCCCATGGAACAGGGTCTCCAGGTGAGCATTGCTTCTACTAAATCATTTATGAAATATATATTCAAGGTATTCATTGCTCAACAAAATCCTCTGCATCTATAGGTATTTTCCCAAGATGATTTGTTCCAATAGCAGTTGACAGAAGTGATTTTCTTTATGTACATAGCATATTTTGCAGTAAACTTGTATATCTCTAAAAATTATAGTCAGCTGCAACAAAAAACTCTTTGTGCTCTTTTCCCTAACTGAAACAATATTTTCTCCAGATTTTAGTCAATGTTATTGAACACCTTTTAAATAATATTGGGTATGTCATCACTGGGTTGTTGACATATGCAAATAGTAGGAGCAACAGCAACTCCTAACCAAGATACAAGCCAAACATATCATGGAACAGTCTCCAGGTAAGCAATGTTGCTTGTGCTCCAACACATTTGAAGCATGTTCATGATTTTCATTGCTCAAATAACTTCTAAACATTCAAACCCTCCTCTTCCTAAAGATTTTTTCCATTTTCAATTGACAAAAGTGGTATTCTCATACACAAAGTATTCATATCAGGAAACTTGTATCACCTCTAATATTTTTGCAAACTTCAAGAAAATAACTCTTTTTGCTCTTTTCCCCTTGGGCAAAGCTATTTTTTCCAATTTTAGTAAATGCTATTGCAGACATTTTAGTCACTATAGTCAGTTGTTACTGAATTTTTAACATATTGCAGGAGCAACAGCAAGTACCAACCAAGGGACAAGCCAAGCATATCATGGAACAGGGTCCCCAGATAGGCAATGCTTTCACTCCATATTTTATGAAAGGTTTTTGTTGTTCTCTGAACAAATGTACAGATCCAAGATGCACCTCAGATCAAAATCTTACAAAAATTGAGGAGATTTCTGAGGTATTGTGATGGTATTGATGTGCCTGAAAATGTTGAATGATGTCTGAGTATCTGATGAAAAGGAAGGCAATAGTCTTTCTCCAGAGTACAGTTATGGTTTGAAGTATTTTGAGCATTCATTTTTTCAGATGATTCCCTCCATTTCATGTGGAAAGAAATGGAATCTCCAATGCACCCAGCATACAATTTCTCCACAACTCCACTTGAACTTAAACAGTTTTTAACTGTATCATATTTGAAAGTTATTCCTTGTTTTTTGAACCTATTCCCTATTTTCAACATATATGCTGTAATTTAGAATAACACAATAACTGAAGAAATAGGTTAAGTTTTGGTTCTGATAATATGACTGAAAAATGTGAATGATTGCCAATTTACAGAATAGGAAGTGGAGAAGTTTCATTCAGAGTAAAGTTTTGGTTCAAAAATATTTTGAACATTTGTTTGTCTCTCTTCCTGAAGATTCCTTCCATTTTTGGTGGACATAACTGGAGACTTCTGGGTCATACAGAAATTCCTGAAAACTACAGAATGGTTTCAATCCTCATCAAAGAGGATCAAAGTAGGAGTGACTCATCCATTTCATTTTCAAGAGTAATTATAACAGAAAATGTTCTCTGTAAATATAAACCTTTTATATTTCAAATGGAAAGAACTACAGGCCCATATATGCATTAAGCTTAAATTCTAGAAACCTTTATTTCGAAAAACTTGCATTTCAAAAAATTTTGGAAGGTTTCCTCTAAATGTGCTAGGTTAGGCAATATTTTTCTTACTTTGGTGTATGAAAAAGTGCATTTCTTAGTTTTGTTTGAATTCAAGCTTGGTCATCCTTCATTGAATTCAGTGTGGGAGAATTTATCTTATCATTTATCACACATTGTGCACTGCTAACATAGCTGCTCATTACAGTGAATATTTCTCCTTTAGGTGTATCAGGTGGTTCTACTCATGATGACTTCACACCCTTTGATCAAACGACAGGGTCTCCAGGTAATGAATGGTGTTCAATTCATTGAAAAGATTTTTTATGTTTGAAGAACCAGTTGACTATTTCAAAACTATTTATGAATTCATTGCTGATTAATTATATAACTAGTGTACAGAATTGTCCAACTAACCAACATATAGGGTTTTGGAACATTTTTGAATATCTTCTCAAAGTCAAAGTTATTGGTTGAAGTTGCCTTCACATCTTACTTACAGCTAGTCAAGAAAACTATTTCCTAGATTTACCCTATTTAGTTTTTTTTAAATGAAAGCTAATTCTAGGAGAAAGTTTGGGAGCACAAGAATTTCACCACTCTTCACAAAAACAATTCAAACGGAATCTGAAGGCTTATTAATGATTGAAATGCCTTCACAGGTTCTTCCCTAACAGAATATTCAGCTTCATTGAGCACCAACATCAGCACCAGGATGAGCACAATGAGCCAGTCTACTTCGACAAAGGCTGTTACATTGGTTGTCACTGAAATTGTGGAATTACAGCCAACAGTGGTCTCCACAGAATTGTCAGAGACTCCTATTGATGAACTCCCATCTTCCACAGATCAATCATTTCACATTTCTGATGAAACTGATGAACATACAAGTGCAATCTTCACCAAGTCCCCAGTAACTTTTACAGCAACAATACAGACTTCCATAGGCACATCAGAAACTGAAACTGAGGAAGTAAGTGGAATGACATCCAGCCCACAACAATCAACCTCAACAAGTCAGGCAATTACTTCATCAGGATCTAGTACAACCTCAACCCCAATAACTTCAACAACACCACAATCAACATCACTGTCAACTGCAACCCCACAGTCAACATCAATAATAACTTCCACCATGCCACCATCAACATCAATCCCAACTACAATAACACTGGTTGCATCAACTTCCACAAAACTGAATCCCTCAACTTCAACAACACTGGTTCCATCAACTTCAACATTGCAGTCCACAACTAGCTCAACCTCCAGCAAAACCATATCCACAATTAACTGGCCCTCCACAACCACATTGTCCACAACTAGCCTGGCCCCCACTACAGCAGTAATTCCATCCACTACCACCAAAAAACCAACCTGTGTTCTTGGACCTTCTGGAGCAATTACATTGGACACAGCAACCATTACAGTTTATGGATCTGACCCTGTTCGAATAAGGTACTCAGATACAAAATTTGATGTACTAAGCGTGGAGTGCTCATTTGAAAATGCAAAGGAAACCAGCACAGTGCAAGGGACAATGATAAAAGAGGAGCAGGTGGTAGTATTTTATTCTCCTGCTATAACCGTTACAGGGACAATAGGTTTGATATTCACCTTTAAACTGTTAGATGGATCATGCTTGACTTTCCGCAACATTGTGAAAATTGATCCATCGAAACGATTCCCATCCAGGTTTGCTACCATGGAAATTATTTCTGGTGCAATGATCTTGAAATGGCCCCCAAAACAGATCATTTCATCTGATGTCTTAGTAAATTTTCATTTTGATGGAAACTTTGATGATCCCAAAAAATTGCTGCGAGGCAGTTATCCCAACAATGGCATTTTGTCTATCAGCCTGCTGTCATTGCCAAATATCTCATCAGCAGAACGTCTACTATTGACAGTGTCTATTCGACCAAAGATCATCTCATCCGATGTGCTGAAGAGTCAAGAGCAGCTCTCACTCTTTGTAAAATGTGAAAATTTCATGCACTCATTTTTGGCAGCAACAAGTGGAGCTGAGTATTGCACCCAGACTTGGCTTAAAAAAAGCCAACCAAGTCCAAGACTCCAGGAGAGTGCCTGTCCACCGTCTTGGGGACAAGCGCAAATTGATCCGCGCTTCACTACAAACAATAACCTGAAGCTAATACATGAGTCTGCAGATGTTTGTTACAGCTCATTGCGAAGAGTAGCCCAGGGATCATATCAATCTTGCTGTTATTCAAAAATTAGCAACTTGATATGTGGGTCAGCTGGAGCTTCTCCACGATTCCGGGACCCAGAAGAACGTTATTGGGACTACATCATGGATGACGTGGTGGGATATGAGTCATGCTGTGGCTTTCAAAACGCTCTGGCTCGGGATGGTGTTGCTTGCAGACAATACTACAATCATAGACCCAGTGATTGCGGCGAGGGTTACTCAAGATGGAGAACCTCCAATGGGAAAGGAGATCCTCATTTTGAGACTCTTGATGGAACCAAATACACCTTCAATGGATTCGGCGAATTTTACTACATGAAGACCAGTGAGTGTGACGTGGTTGTCAGGCTAGGGTTCCTGAATGAGAATGCGCCCATGTCCGCCACCATCATCACCGCCATGGGGTTCAAGTGTTTGGATACCGGGACAGTGTTCATAGAGAAGAAATCAACTTCCTCCAGTGGTTCTGATAGTCAACTGGATGTGAGGGTGAACGGAACATTGGTAAATTTGCAAAACCAAAGCCTTTCATTCGGTGGAAGCTCTGATCTACGCGAAACTGTCGATGACGAAGGTGTTACGTCTGTTGTTGTAACCACTGCAGAGTTGGCAGTGTCAACATCGTGTGAAGCCAATGCGTTACGAATGGTCCTCTTCGTTGGGAGTTCATTGATGGGAAAAGTGAATGGTTTGGTAGGTGCGTTCAGTGGCAACAGTTCCCCGAATGATCTCATCAGTTCAACGGGAAAAGCAGTGGCTGCGTCGAACGCAACAGCAGTACATTACGACTTTGGACTCACGTGGAGAATCCCGAAAAGCTCATCTTTCATGTACTACAAACCAGGAACGAACTACGAAATTTACAACGATAACTCGTACGTCCCGTCGCTGAGAGTGCCTGAAAAAACGCCATTTTTCGAGTCCGTTTGCGGAAACAACACGGAATGCTACTTCGATTTGGATGTCACGAACGACACGGCTTTTGCAAAGGCCACAGCGTCATTTCAAATATCCTTTGACAACGTCAAACAGGTGCTCAGTGAGGAAGCCGTTCTTTGCCCTGTGCCTCCCAATATCACGTCTGGCTCCGCCCCATACACCAGTCTGACATCAGGCTCAGTTGTCGTTGTCTACTGCAATGACGGCCGTATTTTGGACAAAAATCCGATCCAGTGTCAAAGCAATGGACGATGGAATTCCACCTTCCCACAGTGCAGTGCTGGAGAGACTCAGAACAGCACTGTGACTGGCCAAACCACTACAGAAACTCCAAGCATCAACATCTTGAAACCGAAGTTGACCAGAATCTGGAATTATCTTCAATCACTGCTCCTCGGACTAGTGTGATGCGGGAAAGGTTACTCATGGCAATGTGTAACCCGAGTTTCTTCTGAAACGGAGGAGAATATTGACGACTTATTTGCGTGCGATTAACTATGATGTGTCATTATTTTGCTGTGACCGAAGGTATTCATGACGCGGGCTGATGATGCAGAAATGGCGACATCAGCCAACATCAGAACTTACTTTCGAAGAGCAACGGCTGACAATGCGTGTTTAACCTTCAAGTCATTCTCCCTCGTGTATCGTGTGACGAAATAAACGACCATGTCATGGATTTCCCCTTTCTTATTCAAATTTCTTCCCACTACAACATGCGTTCATACAAAATCAAAAAATTGATTAGGGAAACTTGAATATTAGAAAGCACAGAGAACTTTTAAAAGGATCTGTAGCATTTTCCCTTGATTTTCTCTCTATGCATTTCGTAAGAAGCGTATCACTTGCAAAAGAAGGTTCTTTGGGACATGAGAAAATTTGAATTGAAGAAATATGTATATTGTAAACTGTGCATCGGCAGTATACCACACACATTTTTGGTTTCCCGAACTTATTATCTGATGCAAACTATCCTGCGAAAATCCAACACCGCAAGGTTTGGTCGGATCAGAGCTGCCTTTTCAATGAAAATAAATAGTGAATAAATAAAAGAATTCTCAACAGAAAAGATCCTGAATCTTGACAACATACGGGAATTTTTCACCGCTTCCGGAATGGGTTTCATGGAACATACTGTACTTGTAGTTCTTTCCACTGCTTGTATGTCTGTTGTTGCAAGACACCCTCCTTTTCTTGAAATTTCGGAAGTAGATGGGGACAGATAGTAAGTAAGTAGAAAAACCTGTAAACCCGGATGATATGGGAATGAATAAGATGATTAACTAAAGGAAATTGTGAGTCTCTAAAAATTTTTCACCAGTCACACTTCAGAATAAAGTATTGTTAGCAGGGGCTGTGCTGAAATACAAACCTTTTTTATTTTTGCTGGGGTAAAATTAACAGCAAGCGGTGAGAGTGTGAGACTCACGGAAACCAAAAGCCCTCTTGAAAAAGTTACACTGGCAAAAAATGAAATTCGCCTGAAAGCACCAGAACCACTCATCTTTCATCACATAATTTTAATACATGATGGGCTCTTGGAATGAGGGTCCCCTGACGTCCGTCGTAGTTTCAGCTTTGTCGGAACGACCTCTGGCGACGTACATCGTGACTCTCATGGGATTCCCGCCTCTGAACTTCGGCTCTGTGAACCACGGAACTCGAGCTGCGATCGAACTGGTCGCTGCCCATGAGTCGCTATGCCGTCAGGTTGAAGACTCTTCATGATGTTGTCTGATTGTTCCTCGACGAGAGGAAAGTGTTCAACGTGTATAACGTGAAGTATCGGTTAATATTGTGTGATCATCCTAAAAGCATTCACGAGCTTACTTTCTTTGCTTCGGAAGTGGAATCGGTGTCCATCAGAACTTAAGTTTCAAGGCTAGGTCTTGATTTAGCACGTGAATGATTGTTCTTCGGTGATGATGTAGCGAGAGTCACTCATCTCCTTTACTGTTCTATTATACAGACCGGAATTTCTTGAAACTTATTTCGTCTCTCTCAGCTGATCATCATGAGCACTGTTGCTACGAGTCGCGCTATTGAACAAATGGACACGCTGCCTGGCGTGGATCCTGCTCGCGAGAAGGCTCGTGTTGACCATCGGAAAAAATTGTTGGAACATCGTGAAGTTGAAAGCCGTTTAAAAGAAAGTGAGTACAGCATTGCATCATGACGTTTCTCGATTTGCTTGTCCTAATATCGCTGATGTTTCAGTGCGTGAGCAACTAAAGGAACAAAACAAGCTTTATGAGAAGTCTGAGAACGACATCAAAGCGGTCCAAAGTGTAGGTCAGGTGAGTGCTAAAATTTTCTGTGACTGTGAAATTTCGTCCTTCAACTTAGCCATTTTGCAGATCGTTGGAGAAGTTCTGAAGCAACTTGCAGACGAGAAATGTGAGTAGAAAAATCATTCGGTCATGAACTTTGATCTCTTTACCTGAACTGGTTTTGTAGTCATTGTGAAGTCAACAAATGGTCCCCGCTACGTTGTTGGTTGCCGGCGTCAAGTCGACAAAACTCAGCTGAAGCAAGGAACGAGAGTCGCCCTTGACATGACCACTTTAACGATTATGCGGTATCTTCCTCGTGAGGTTGATCCCTTGGTTTACAACATGTCCCACGAAGATCCCGGAAATGTCACCTATTCGGCAATCGGGGGCTTGGCGGAGCAGATTCGCGAATTGCGAGAGGTATCTAAACCCCGTTTTTGGGTTGAAAGAGTCGCGTTCAAGGACTGTTTTTCATCCAGGTTATTGAACTTCCATTGATGAATCCGGAGCTCTTTCAGCGTGTGGGTATAACACCACCGAAGGGCTGCTTGCTTTATGGTCCTCCCGGTACGGGTAAGACGTTGTTGGCTCGTGCCGTCGCTTCACAGCTTGACGCAAACTTCTTGAAGGTACAGTGTGTCATTTTTGAAAATGTCGGCTGGTATTCACTTGATCCAATTTACGAAGGTTGTATCAAGCGCAATCGTTGACAAGTACATTGGAGAAAGTGCGCGACTCATTCGTGAAATGTTCAACTATGCGAAAGATCATCAACCTTGCATCATATTCATGGATGAAATTGACGCCATCGGTGAGGAATCCTCTGAAGTTGAACATTATCGCAGATGATCATTCTTCCCGGTATTTAGGCGGTCGTCGATTTTCCGAGGGTACATCCGCTGACAGAGAGATTCAACGCACATTGATGGAGCTCTTAAATCAGATGGATGGCTTTGATTCCTTGGGGCAGGTATGTTCAAATTCAAATAATCGACGATTATTTTGTTAAGTTGTATTGGGTCACCATGATAGTACGTTTCGATTTACCTTGATCATTTGAAGACGTATTGTAATTGACAAGTAGAGGTTCGTCGGTACGTTCCTCTGAGTGTTGTGCCTAATCCTTCGAAGCATCTCTCTAATTTTGTCTCGTTTAGGTGAAAATGATCATGGCAACCAATCGCCCCGACACGTTGGATCCAGCTCTGCTTCGTCCTGGTCGGTTAGATCGTAAAATTGAAATACCGTTACCGAATGAGCAAGCTCGCATGGATGTACTGAAAATACACGCTGCGCCTATCACGAAAAAAGGCGATATCGGTGAGAGAAATATATATTTGACTTTGAGGATGATTGTAAAATGAAGTTCCTTTCATGATCAAGATTATGAAGCTGTTGTCAAGCTATCGGACGGCTTCAACGGTGCTGATCTGCGAAATGTGTGCACGGAAGCTGGACTTTTTGCGATACGCGCAGAACGTGACTACGTCATCGACGAAGATTTCATGAAAGCTGTGCGAAAGCTTTCTGACAACAAGAAGCTGGAATCAAAGTTCGATTATAAACCTGTGTAGAGTGCCCCGTGAAAGTGTTGAACGATTTCTCCTGGGAAAAAACATAAGCCTTTTGGTATAAATGTCTGCCTTTCCGAAATCGCGAGAACGACTGCCGAGTTCATCAATCGTTTTCGCAACTGACTCCGGAGTTTGAATTGTGTCGTGTCCTCATTCTCAACGGTACTTGGAAAATATTCCAATAAAAGTTTCGTTTCATGAAGTGTTTTGCCTACTTGTTTTTTCATGTTTCGGTTGAAATAAGTGGTGTATGAATTGGGCAGACTTGGAGAATGAATCGGATGTCTGAGAGTAGCGTAGGGAGTGAAAACTGTTGGTTTGGCTTTCCGGTATTTGAACTTCGTTTTTTGTCTACAGAAAATTTCGTGAATGTGTCTTCTGGAATCCACCTTTCCCTTGGATTGCGGTTTTGAATCGTTTTATCTTCCGATTGGTTAATAACTTGAACGCTAACCTGCACGCTTCTTTATTTTTCGCGTAGAATGCATGCCTACTTGGCTTGCGAATGCATTTCTTGTGTCTTTGCTTTGTGAATGATCGCTATACGTGCACGGGCCTGCTTCGTAGAAACTAATTTTTTGTTTCTAATCAAATTTTTTCGTTGTTCAATCGTCCAGGTCGCTGCAAAACCGATCCGCATTTGATTTGCTCTCCAAATGCACGAGGACACGCACAAATTCAACTAGAAGCCGAGGACACGCACAAATTCAACGGTGTTCAATTCGTGACGAGTCTGCAGAAAACTGGTTGCAGTTCTAACCTTATACCGTATTCTATTATAACAGTAGTCGATTCGAGATTTATTTCTTCGTGCGCTATCGGTTGAACGTTCAGTTTGGGTTCGAGTGATCCAGCTGCGTCTTCGGGAACCTCATCGATTCGTGCTGCAATTTGCGTCATTGGAATGCCTCCTTGGTGAGTCTTGTTCACCTTGATCGAAGTCTTTTCTGCATCTGGTTCGAGGAATGAGAACTGGGTGCTGTGCCGCGTTGGTGCTGGGAAAAAGTTGAATGCGTCCGATGTGCATAGTCAACGTTTTCGTCGGTGTGTGTTCTGCTTCTTTCTCCAACATTTACATTCCCGTTTGAAAAGGTTCATCACCGTCAAGAAAGGGAAGCTGTTCAGACACTGAATCATTATATTATTAGAAGGAATGCGTGTGGCTTCGTGTCGTATTTCCTATGCGGACATCGTTAGCCGAATTTAGTTTAATTTATACTTCCGAGGGTTTTAATACGTTGTACGCTGAGTTTCCGTGCCGCAATTGAATTTAGGCATTTCATTGAAACGCGAAGCACTGCGTTCTGGGGAGTTTGAAAGTTCCGACTTGTGATTTTACCGTCTTGGGGTCGATGGAAGTTCTTATGAAAAATTTTAAAATTTAAAATGAATTTACAAATGGACGCTTTCTACGACGCTCTTGTCTTGAACGAATTCTCTGTACATAAACTAATTTTAATTTTGTTTTCATAGGTTGCTCAACCGGATTTATAGGGTCTCAACGAAGAAATTTTCTCCACGAAGAATTTTTTCTGGTCCCTTGAATTTTTTTGAAGATTCCACGTCTATTCAATTTTAAGCATCCTTAAGCAAAATCGTTCATCAGTAGAACGAAAAGCTTATATTGAAACCGCATTCTCGAGTATAACTTAGTATCGAGATATTGAACGATCTCGAGGAGAAATTTAACGGACAATGCAGTACAGTAGTTGAAAAAGGTCAAATTCTCAATAAAATCTTCTGAATTCGTGTGATTATTTGGTTTTCCAAGAAAAATCATGTCTAGAGAACTTGATTCCTACGTTTTAAAATATCCGAACCACCTTCTTCACGAAATACGAGGCTTCGCAATAATTTTGCCTTCAAAGAAACTGGAGCGTAAAAAATTAAATTTTGTTCCATGAATTTTCCAAACATTTACTATGAGGAAATGAGTTTTGGTGTATAATATTGAAGAAACTACTAGGGTTGAAGGATGATGAACTGCCGCTTTCCATCATCGGAGGCAGATGCGATTTTTTCTTTTCCTCTTCAATCCTTCATTGGTGTCTCATAACTTTTTCAGACTACTCAGCTACAGAAGGAAACAAGAAAATACCTGGATCACAGTGAATCCCCTCCACTGAAGTGAAGTTTAATTGATCAAGAGAAGCTGAATGCGCACTTGCATGCTCTATATGGCTTTGGGGGTTATGTGGTAAACTTCACTTCAGTAGAGGGCATTCACTGTGATCCAGGTATTTTTCTTGTTTCCTTCTGAAGCTGAATAGTCGATGAAATTTTTTTTAGACACTGATGAAGAATTGAAAGCAAAAGAAAAAAATTGACTCCGCCTCCAATGACGGCAATTAAGTGGCTGTTCATCATGTCTTATGAAACAACTCTCGTATATACTGTAGCATTCTTTTAGCTTTAGAAGATATCTTGATTACCTTAGTGCGTTGCCTATCCCAGTATGTTTTACCACTGTATTACATACTGTTTCAGACAATCCGTCATAATGGAAATTATTGAATGGTAAATATCGGCGCAAATTTTAAGATAAACTTTTTTTCCTATATCATGATTTCAACCATTAGGAGGTACGTGCATTGACGAGTATACGGTAGTGTTTATCCTGAAAGTTCAAGTTTATCCTTGTTCATTTCATACTTCAGAAATATTGGAGAAATGAGCGGACGAAACGTTTCTGGGAATTACGTGAATACGGTGTTCCGAGGAGTTGATCAGCCGTGAAACCCAAGATCAAGTCAGCATCATGAAAAGTTAAACACAGTCGTGTCCTTATCTTTTTTCAACTGATTGCATACGCGAGAAGTAAATCACATGGCTTCAGAATTGTATGAACTCAACCGTCGCACGCAGCGAAAGATAAAAATAAAATATTGGCGATGGCACAAACACACTATGGAATCAAGTCAAGCGTTCGTTGTGAGGATGAGCGGGTCCTTGGGGAGACGGAATTCGCGGCGACGAAACGGCGACGCGATTCGATAGTAGGCGAACTCGTCATTCGCGCTGAGAAAGTTGTAGGGAGCCTCGAATATCCGCTGTCGATCTTTGGCACTCAAGTGATGCTCCTTGAAGTTGTGGCTGATGATCACTGGTTTCCCGGCATCGTCCAACTCTCCGCTGTACTTTTCTTTCGTCTCTGGAGATTGTGCGGCTGTGGCTAGAGCCACTGGCGATTCCATGTCATACTCAAACAACCTGCGGAGGTTTCAAATAATTAGCATAAAAAAATGAGTATTAAAATCTTGTTACAATGAAGCCATTGTGACCGGTGGCGGTAAGATGGCATTATCATAGGAGTGCATTGTGATGATGACGAAATGACATTGCTTTTGAAAACATTAACGACACATCTGGATCAGAATGCATCGTCAGCCACCGAAGTGCCTAGTGTTGAAACGAGTATATTGAGGATTATCGATGATTTTCCCACGCTCCAATTAGATTTTCCGTGACTCGGTGTGCAGACCGCAGCTTTGGTTTATTTTAGCACAAGAAAAAATAAATTACGTGGGAAATCAAGGATGGAAAGCCAACGGGAGGAACGAGGAAGATAAGCGATTGGAAAATTCAAACGCAAGACATTGGCGGTGTCGAGATTTCAATGTGCTAGGGATACTATTATTCTTCTGAATCGCCCATTTAAGTCCAGAGAAATGAGCTTCTCAAACTGATGGAGGCTACAGTACTCCCAAAAGTTACGAGTTCATCCAGCAACTTCTTATCTAAACGTCACAATTAATGTGTTCGCAATAGTTTTACACAATATCCAATATTTTAGTCACCATATTCAGCAACTCCGTCCGCTCTAAAATAAAACGGGCCTTTTAAAAGAAGGTTTTGTTTTGCTTTAAAAAATTGCTGAAGCTTTTTTCTCATCAATGTTTTTTTCTAAGCAGTTGAAATTTCTTAGTTTTCGTGATGTACTAATTAGTTATATGCATACATTGATATTGTACAGTGAGACCCCCACATGCAGACACCTCGACCTGCGGACAATTCGAAATAGGGACACTTATCAGACAATTTCTGATTTCTAAAATTTTTATTTTTTCCCATAAAAAAATTAATAAAAAGGCCTGAAATGAGGACACTGACTCAACATGGGGAAATTTTGTGATGAAATTGCAAATACATTTCAGGCCAAATTACAAGAAACAGATATTTCCAACCCTAAAATTGATGCAAGAAAAGTTCATCACAAAATTTCCCCATGTTGAGTCAGTGTCCTCATTTCAGGCCTTTTTATTAATTTTTTTATGGGAAAAAATAAAAATTTTAGAAATCAGAAATTGTCTGATAAGTGTCCCTATTTCGAATTATGGTGAGTATTTTGTACATGAAACAACAATTAAAAATTATGTAATGTAAGTCTAAGGGAAAATGAGATGACTTAAGGAACACTCTCAATGTACCAATTATGTTCGCATCTCAGGGTCTCGCTGTACTGTATACAGTATAAGATTTATTTTGAAAACTCAATCCGGTATTTACGTATGGTTGGTCAAACTCCGTTAAATTATTTGTAAGTCCTGATTTATGAAACTATGAACAAGGGAAAGTCATTCTTAAAATTTGGATACGTCTACAACTCCGAATATTGTTCTAACACGTCTTTCGTGATTTTTATAAGTACATTAAAATCTCTCTATAACGAAATATTGCTTACAGCGGATTTGTAATTTTGATTCCTGTCCAATAGCCACAGTGCTATATTTATTTTGTTTCAACGCATTGTCATTGAAACGAATCAATTTGTACCGAAGCTTTTTTAAGGTCTCAAACGCTTCTTTATAAGGAGTTTTTACTTTTTAGACTTTGAAAAAAAAAGCTCACTGCTTGTAGTGTCGACGAATCGGAACAGCGTCATCTTGTTGCTCAGCCAACAAAACCTGGAGCCAACTTCCGGCCGAGGACGCCTTCTTAAACACAGGAACATCACCTTTCGCAGAAAAATTCTTAATCACGCTTTCCAAACGATAATTAAAAGAGCGAAAGTCATTATCGGCACGAAAAGGCTTGACTAGCCTCATGACGCGTTCAATTTCGGCATAGTTCCACGTACGTGAATGAAAGCAAAACGAAAACCATACCATTGGAAAGGTGCTCGATTTTTCTGTGCCATGTGGTGAAAAGGACTCCTGAAGCAAGTGTTCAGCGCGAAAATAGTCGATGATTGAATCCACTGTTATTATGTAGGATGAATATTTTACTCGAGTACCCAGGCACTTCTTTCGCGAAAATTTGCTGCATGATATCGGAACACTTTTTATATAAGACGGGTTTTATGGCGCCGCATGGCGAACTTCATCTTGGATTTGCGTGTAAACTTCATTGCCTCAGAATGACTAAAATTATTGATTGACTAACCTGTACTTTCCTAATTTGATATTAATCTTGAGTAATATCCTCGTTTGAACAGTGCTTTAGCTATAGTCCGTAGTAGCTCTAAATTTGCATTAATGAAATGCATTTTCAAGAAATTTTGTGTAACAAAAATGCTTTTGTAAAAATGCCGGATTCAAGATAAATTAAATACTCCTCTACATCGTGGATACACCTCATTGGCTTGCAGATTTTCTAAAACTGGGTTCAAATATGTATTTAGGATGGAATACGCTCAAATGGCAGTCCAAAGTGACTATTGCTTTGTTTGGTCTTGACCGAGCCTGATCTAATTTTACTCTTTTAGTTTGGATTGTATTCCCTTATGTCATACAGTACATACACAATTGTATGTACGGTGAGACCCTGACATACGGAAACCTCGACCTGCGGACAATTCGACATAGGGACACTTATTTTCTCTTCAAAAATTAATAAAAAAAGGCCCAAAATGAGGACACTGACTCAACATAGGGACATTTTGTTTTAAAATTGCAAATACGTTTCAGGCCAAATTACAAGAAACAGATACTTCCAACCCTAAATTGATGCAAGAAATTCTTGGGCATTTCTCTCAAAAATTTACCATTCATTTAGCTAATTAAAAAAGATACCTCCAGCAGAGAAAGACTTCCTTCTCTCTTTTGCAATTAAATACTATTTTTACAGCCAATATTTCTATGTACTGTACAGAGGTATTGGTATTCAATTCACTAAATGTCCATATTGTGTTGAAATATATTGATTGTTAAAATTGGGAGAAAATTTTTATTTTCATGGAATAATGGTGAGTATTTTGTCCATGAAACACCAATTAAAAATTATATAATGTAAGTCTAAGGGAAAATGAGACTTGACTTGGGGACATTTTGACGTAGGGACACTCTTGTCGCACCAATTACGTCCGCATCTTGGGGTCTCACAGTATATGCAATATTGTGAGTATATTCAGACTTTCATCCATGTCATACCATTTGTGGCGCAAAATAGCCTCTTGGAATTTCCAGGGTAGCAAAACTTCTCCATTCAACACAGTGTCCTTTGCTGAGAGCTTGTGTGCAAAGTGACATTTTAAGTTGAGGATTTATTTTGTCCCGTGACAAGGAGATAAAAGTTTTTAAAAATTGAAAATGTTTCATATACAATATTTAGACATGTTGGCAGCGTGTATGGGGCAGATTTTTTGAGCTTCAGGTGTCCCTAAGTGGAATTTTCGTCGTGTTGGGACATCCGCATCTCAGGTGTTTCTAATTTGAGGATATTGTTCTGAACTGCAGTCTGGAGTTGCTGAGCAATTCTGAACGCATAAAATGCTAAAAATGACGATACGCCGTGATCTTCACTGCGAATTCAAATTAAAATGTTCCTTCCATGAAATATTTAAAATTTTGTTCTCGCTAGACGTGTCGTTTTTAAATGGTATCTGGTTAGTACTGTACCAAGGGGTACGCTGTGATACTTTTTATCAACGGGGGTCAGCTATAATCCGAAATCAGTTGAAACGAGGTCGTGGCTTTTCCTTACCATTAGGTTGAAGCATCAGGCGTTCCGATGCTGGAACGAATCTCGATTCCACCGCCGCCGGTGTGGCAACCAACATGACGACAGCCAGGGGCACCGTAAGCCACGCGGACGCCCTCAGTGCCACCGACTGGCGACTGCCGCCATCGCCGCCCCCGCACCACGCAAACGCATGCATGCGTTGGTGTTTTTCAAGAGAGAAAAAAGTGCGGTTTCTTGAAAATCGAACACTTCACAGCGGTTTCGTTTTAAAAAAAACTCGGAAGAGCTCCCTCATACAGTACGCGATTTGAACACTACGATTTGCAGAGGAACAGTAATGTTTATACTGAATATCCAGCGAAAAAAGAGACGGGTTTAAAATTCAGTTCACGCGGGAATGACGGGCTGTTATTGCCTGCATCCATCCGGACCTTTAAAGTATGTTTTGCCAACTGATTCCGAAAAATACTCGAGAAGAAGAAATGATTGACGAGTTATCAAATGCTGCCGAAAAAAATTTTGCCGGTGGATTTAACTCTTAGGAAGGAGTGGACGCATCAGTTCTTATACGTGTTCTTCAAATTCATAGTTCTGCTGATTTGGCTTCATTAATCATTATTTTAAGGCAATTTTACGAATTTTTTTTATTCAGCGTCTTCCTAGTCTCTTGAAAAGACCGTTTTATTTGTAAAGTGCTGTAGTTATTCGTCACTCCTTTATAGTCCCATATCTTTGCCCTGAAAATCTTGCGGACTAAAGTTAAGACGTGCTCGTGTAACAGTGATTCAGAATTTATTTATTTCGATTAGTGTTCACTAACTCAAAATTTTTCATAATATTTTTAAAGAACGGGTACGTATTTTTTGCATTCGCAGCTTTTCTTCATCTTTTCGAAGCAGTCCTTAATTTTCTTGACGCGCGAAACATCTATGAAAAACCACAAGAATCGCCTTTGAATCTGTAACCACTTGCCTGAATGACACATAATCCTCGTGGGTGGCGTATTTATGCATATGCTATAAAAAACAAGATTTCATCCTTCCAACTGTGAAATGAGTGTGAAAAAATTAATTTACAAATTTATTTCATGTTCCATGATATGACAAGAATAGTGCAACTCGCAACAGATTCCCTTTGGCATGGGTAAAATTTCCCGTGGACCTGCGAAAAAAAATAAAATACTAACTGATCAAGATTAAGGATTTAGATCATATTTTTAGAACTTCCGGATATATTTTTTGTTGCCTCGTGATCTTTTTGGTTAGTGAAAATTATGATTAGACGTATCCGAGCGCATGCCGGAATAGACATCCGTTGAATCCGGATATCTCTTAAATGAGCCAAACTGGGTTCCCAATATACTGAACCCGTTCAAACGGGACCCACTGAAATGTGTGGCACTTCTAGAATGATACGCACACGCGAAAATCATCACCACCATCGTTTTCCTTTACTGGCAGCTCACGCACTGCGACTGTGGCTTGTTCTATTTCTCTTCAATGTCGTCGTCGTCAATGACGTCAGTCCATTTTCTCGGGTCGCCAACGCGTCTGTTGGTCAGTCCTGTCGCCTGAACCTTGACTGACGACCATTTATGGAGACCCGAAGAGTGACAGAATATTGTCGGGTTTTCGGGAACCTGATATTTTTTCATCTACACTCGGACATTCACTATTCCCCTCCTCTGTTCAGATTTTTCTCGTTTAGTTCGACTCTCTCCACAACGAATGTAAAGGGACCCGAAAAAAAATTCGTTTTAGGTAACCCCCTTCAATATGGGTGGAGAACCCTATGAGACCCCAAAAGAAAAAACATCTTTATACCGTACTTTATAGAGAAAATCGTTTTAGATGGGGAGATAAGTTTTTGGCAATAAGGGGACGCCTAGTTTGACGCCTATCAAAATGGGCACTCAGCTCCACTGAACCGAGTACTGTACCCGCAACTATGGTGAAAGGGGTTCAAACGGGAACCCACTGAAAATCCTGGCACTTTTTTTGATGCAATATACACGCATCACGCATGTGCACGCGTAGTACAGTACATGAAACTCGTCGTCATCATCGTCGTATACTTTCCTCATCGCGGATCACGCTTTTTCCACTGCAATACTGGGACTTCTTCTTTTTCTCGTCAGTGTCCTGTTGTGGACGACGTCAGAGTATATTCTTGGGTTGCCAGCGCGACTCGTCAGCCCTGAATCCTGCCACCAGATTACAGGCGGATTCTCTCCACAACGAAATTCAAGAGACCAGAAAAGAAAAAATTCGCTGTATAGGTAACCCTATAACTTGGGTAGAGAACCCTGTGACCCGAAGGAAAATTATTGATACAGAGAAAACTGTTGTGGACAAGATCGTTGTAGAGAGGGAGTCAACCCTTGTAATGTTGTGACAACCAATGGGACTCATTTGATCGCTTCTGTAGAGTTTACTTCGAATACGTTTTCCACTTTTGTGATTATTTCAGAGAAAAATGATCATATAATCAATTCTCAAGACCTTGTAATGAACAAAAATTCATCCAATTCATATTTCAAATTTGTTTGAAGATCGAATTTAATTCACATGAATTACGGTAAGCATGTTGGTGAATTAAGGCGACTAAAATCGCTTGCTTGATTATCAGAAATATTAAATTACAAAGTGACCGTGGAAGCCGGGGACCGTTTCGTTACCTCTGTTGCGATTTTCTATGTATACTGCAAAAGGATTTTCTGTATATGGTTCTCTAAAACGAAATACTTGTTATAGCGAATTTTTTCGGGTTCTATGAATTTCGTTGTAGAAAGTCCACCTGTCATTAAAGAAATGCATGGGGGTAGATATACTGTACAGTGCAGAGCATTGAATATTGAGGCAAATCATCTAAAAAAAAATTGAAGGCAGGCCCAATGATCGGAATTTTTGTCCGAATTAGTCCACCTGTCATTAAAGAAATGCATGGGGGTAGATATACTGTACAGTGCAGAGCATTGAATATTGAGGCAAATCATCTAAAAAAAAATTGAAGGCAGGCCCAATGATCGGAATTTTTGTCCGAATTCATCTTCCCAAAATTCCTATTTGATTTTTTTCCAAATCGAACCAAAATATCTTGCAGTATTTTTCTTTTTAAAATTCCTTGAAGATAATTTTGCTTGGTATATTAATGAAGGCATCAAAAGTAATTCATCGTGCGTAAAATGCTGAATAATTTTAGTTTATGGCAAATGCAAACAAAAATGGATGAGTGCATTTCCCACAGAAAAGATCGTAAAATTACAGGTATCCAATTTCGAAAGAGCGTTGTCCCTTTAGTAAGGAAGTGTTTTTTAAAGAAAGGCCGTGCACTGGAATAAAAGGAATTGGAGTGTACCCCAAAGAGCAATAATAGCTAGGTCTGTGAGTGCCTCGTCTAATTGGCTCCGGGTCTCCCCATACAGTGTCGACAGCATGTACAAAGCGAGGGAGGGAGAAAAAAAAACCCCGAGTCCAACGATCAGGTCATCGTCATTGGGCAACAAGCGTCACTGTCGATCGTGGGACCCAGCCTGTCGTTGGCAACTCTCCCAATATTTTTCCTCTCTCGCGAACACCAAGCAGTTTCATTTTTTTTTCCTTCGCGTCCACGCTGCTCCATTTGGTGCACTTATGATTTATTCCTCTCCCCTCTTTATTTCTGATGTTTTCTTCTCCAGTTGCTGATTATTTTTTCAGCTGCACGTTTTGCTGTGCTATGAACACTGCTGAGTTCCGTTGGCTTCTTTGATAACGTGGAGTCTGTGACCCGCCTCGGATTCCAGGGATTCCTTTCAAGTGGATTGCTTCATCCACCTTTGGAAAACAAATGGCATAGCTGTTGCTAAATTGGATCATATTCAAAGAACCAACTGGTCCGAGTACGAAACGAGAATCCTTTGCTCCCGTTGAGTGTTCCAGTGCATTTCGAGTGTTACACTGACTATATGTATGAGGGTTGGTTCATAAGTTTTGAGAGTTTTTCAAATAGACCTGATGGAGTTTGAACAATTAAAATGAATGCTACTCGCATAGCCCCATCATTCGGGAACATTTCATTGCTGTTCAGCATACTCTCCGCCGATTCAACTGGATTGTTCTATGGGATAAATCCAACGCTCAAATCAGTGCAAAAAATCAAGTTCTGTTGGTTGATTTTGTACCCTATGACTTCAGGCTCTTCAAGACATATGTGAAAGGACATAGACATATATGAACTTTTTTCCCCTAAAAGTAAGGCTGTTCCATCCGTTCAGAGTGAGCTGAATTAATTCCGCCAAAAAACGCTGCTCAAGTCATAATTTCATAAATCCTTCGTGGATGAACGAGCTGTAGCTTTTGAAGACATGGACAGCCTCATTTCTGCCGTCAAAGAGCAGCTTAATCAACTAACAAAACTCGATTTCTGCACTGTTTTGATAGTTGAATTTATCGCATGAAAAAATATTGAAATTGGCGGAGTAGAGTATATTGAACGGTACTGAAATGTTGCAGAATTATGGGGCTCCGCAATTAAAAAAAAAATTGTTTTAGTGTTGCATTTGAATTTTTTCAAGAAGTCTTGAAGCTTATGAACAAGCCCTCTTACGCAAAGTGATGATATCCAGAAGAGCCAGGTTTTGTCAAACTACCACTCTTTAAAGATGAGAACATCCCTTTGTCAAATTTGTTTTCTGTCTTTTATACCAGCCTGAGATTGAGACCGGTCTACTATAGAACTAGAAAGACATCTGATGAAAAGTCGTCGGTATGCCGGGAAACATTCAGAAAGAATGTTTGCTGGACACAATTTATTGATAGCAGGAATAAAGCAACGAAACGTAAACATCTCACTAAAAGAAATAACATTGCCAAAATCAATTATCCATACTCATTTGCCGCAATACGGTAGAAAGAAAATCTTACCCATGTTGGAGGGGATGTCATCTATCAGCAGGTTTGTAAGTCCACTTGGCCCGTTTAAAGGGATTCGCGTCAAGGTTCAGAATTATCCTCTGCTTCAACCAAGAATGCAATTATCTTTACTTGGGAGGATTTTAAAAATAATTTGTTTAAGCATCTTCTCTGAGTGTTAAAACATCATCATAGCTGTCTCTAAGAATTGAGTTTCAACTGCGCAATTTTCTTAAACTTGCATTTTCTCACGCAGCCTTGTCTTCACCAGCGTTTCTGGCGCACCGACAATTTTATAATTTCAAATTGAAAGTTTTACTCCTGCATTTCCAATGATGCTCGGTTTTTTTTTTTTTTGTGTGTTCAGTGCTTTTTGAGCGACGTGAAGTGCATGTACTGTACTCCAGTCCACAAAATCTACATGCAACATGGGTGGTTTTCTTATTGCTGATTCAC